TTAAGTCTCAGAAGAAATGAATAGAAGATGACAGTAAATTGTGATGCTTACTGTCCTGGTAGGTCGCTGCCAGTTCAAGTCCCTGTTTTGTGGTGAACATGAAGGAAGTCAGGGGACAACTGCTTGCAGGAATGGACGAGAGGCCGGCTGTTGAACGCACAGCTGGATAAAAGCAGGGGATCGATTTAGACTGGGCACACTCAATTTGGTCCAATCGAGTTTCTCGATAGGCGTCCAAGCAACCATCGACCAGAACAGGATTTTTGGGGTCCAGAGTCTACAAGAGAAAAAAAAATGTATCCAGTGACAAGTTCTGGTCAGGAGAGCACAGTAAAGTGAGGACTGTTGCTGATCCTACCTTGTTGCTTAGAAAGATCCCAGACTTCATCCAGCACCTCACGTGAGCTTGTGGAGAGAGAAGCTTCCAGACGGTTTGACTCTGGTTGAGGAGCGGACCCCTGCAGATCTGATTCTTTGATTCTCAATGACGCCCAATCTTATTTCTTAACTCAGTTTGCAGATTTTGGGCAGTCTCCAGCCACACATGACGCTCCAGAGGCAGATGACAGTCTACACACACTTCATCAAGGTTTATCTGACGCGCAACACCACTGCAGGTAGGTCCTCAGATTTCCATAAAGATGTAGTGTTATATATATATAACGTTATATTATTCCAGTAAATTTTTTTCACACTGCTCCTTTTGTCATACATGTAACCATTTGTTAAATGATTTACTAGCTACAAAGAAGCAAGAGAACACAAGCAACACATCAGGTTATATAGATGCTTTATAATTAGCTGAATGAGGATTTCTGTTAGCATTGTATTTTTATTTAGGTATGTCCTAGTGGTCTAAGATGCAGACAATTTTTAGCTGGAGATCTTATCCCCCCGAAAAATAAATAAATAAAGATTATAATAATAAATTGAGCCTGTAAACAAAAGGTCTTTCCAAAGGTCATCAAAGACGCATAATCTGGGCACAGTGAATATGTTTCACAGAATTCCACCAAATAGTTGTTAAGACATTTTACTCTGGACATACTGTATAGCAGCACCATTAATGTGGCTAAAATATAAATACTGATGTGACTCATAAACCATAGCATCATTGCTGTGATGTTAGATATCAACAGAACTATCATTCTTAGAAAATAGGGTTTCTTGTACGGGTTGCATACATAAAGCATACAGTAAAGTTAAATTTGTGTGTTTTTTTGTGATTCAGACGTCAGCTGCAGCTTAAACATTAACAACAGTGGAGAATGGCTGCAGAAGAACTTGGGAGGTTTCTCAGCCCTCGCGTCCTTCCAAGACCTGCGGACGCTCTATCCTAAGTTTTCAGCGGTACTTCCTGTTGCCTTGTGTTTCCTCTCATTATGTTTTTGTTTATTTGCTTGTTTTGGTGTGGTTTTGTCTATGTCGTACATTTATTTGTCTGTGTGAACACGCAGATGGAAGCCCTACCACAGCTGACAGTCAGACAGCTGGCAGAGGTGTCCGCCACACCTGGCCAGCTCACCGATCCTGCCCAGGTTACCATGGTGACTAAACACATCCCCGACCAACTCCTCCCTGCCTTCTTTGATGATTACTCAACTGCTATCCTGGTGAGTGTGAAAACACAGATTTTCAAATAATATCTTGTCCTTGATTGTTATCAGGAAGCAATATTTTAGTCAGCGTAAATAACATGAACTTCTCTAAGGTAGAATATATTGAATGACATGGGAAAAGCCTCATATCATCAACAAAACAAAATGTTACACTTTGGTCAAGTTACACTCACAGAAATATAGAAGAAGGTGCAGTTAAACTGGCAACACCTAACTAAATCCTATTTATAAAACATCGTGTTGCTCTGCAGAAAGATATAATTCTTAAGTTTAAAACTTTCTCTGTATGCTTGCTTTTCCTTATTTTGTCCTTTTCTCTCTTTATGCAGGGTCATGAAAACATGTTCCCGCCTGCGGTGAGGTCAGCCATGTTGCAAGTTGTGTTCGATCGTGCAAACCTCTCAGATCACTCAGTAGGGGATTCAGTTGTGTTGCTGTGGCTCCACAACCGACTCTCCCCCCTGCTGGTCAACCTGTCACCGAGCCATGTCGCACCGTTCTTCAACATACTGGCGGGAAGAAACTGCAGTACCAAGCAGCAGGGGTAAGTGTAGAGCGAAGAGGACCGAGTTAATGATTATTTTACTGGAATCTTGTTGTTTTTGTACCTCATCTCTAAAGTTGCCTGTATGTGATTCTAGACAAATATCAAATGTCAATGAATGTAGCCAGACAGCAGACACAAAAATTTTTTATTTCCTTATTTTTTTATTTCAGAGTCGAAGGACTGAATTCAACAATCTCCTCGCTCAGTGAAGTTACACAGCAAGAAATCTACAATCACATCATTCAGACTCTCAAAGGTAAGGAAAACACACTAAAATGCAAATAGTAAGTAAATAGTTTTGGGTGGTAACACGTTACAAACACATACTCTAAAGTACCATTTATATCCCTCTGATATACAGTGGTGCTCTGTGTTTCTTTACTTTGAAAGAATACAAATTAAGCTGAGGCTTTTTTGGGTACATATTATGGTTCATAAAATGTTCAGTAATCTCTTTTTTTAAACACTTGATGGTGGTTTACAGCAGGGAAATTATATAATGTTTGAAACCAGATCTACAGCCTTAATTTTGACTCTGCAGAGCCAAGTTTTGACAGTCGATTTCTTTCGCTCTCCCTCACTCTAGGACCAATACCTCTCCAGTGCTACGGTGACAACTACAACCAAAGTTTCTACAGTTTCTTGGAGCGCTCATTCGTGGGATTCCAGTTCCCCAACCTGACCACCTTCCTGTCCCTCATGCCTGTCAACAGGACGCATCAGGTTTGTGTCCGAAAGTAAAACAGAGGATTCAAAGAAAGTTAAGGAGGGTTAGTTTTTAGAACTCGAGTTGACGGATGTAAAGATGACTTATTTAATGTTGGTTGTTCTTCTAGCTGGTGAACTCCATGCCTCCATCAGCTCTTGGGGATTTTCTCCGTCGCCCTGATGTTGTCGACAACGATGCAAAGCTCTGTGTGATCTACGACAACTACATGCAGACACCGTTGTTCCTGGAGACTGTATGTCCCACACACACAAACACATAAATAAAAAGGCAAATACATATTCACGATATAATAACTTTACTGTGCATATTCACTACAGGAGTCTCTCCCGGCTGCGGTGCGGCGGCCCACACTGCCTTGCGTCTGGCCCATGGCTCTCAGCAGCTCTAAGAGGTCAGAGGTCAACGCTTGGTTTGACCAACGCCTCCAGAACTACTTGGTCTTCCTCACTAAGAGTCTGATCAGCCCCAATAGCACAAACACCACCTCCTGCCTGGCCTTCCAAAAGCTGTATGTATGGTTGTCACAGCTTATAGGTGTTTTTTGTATATCGTGTCATTTTTGGGTGTTTTTCAAATCGTGTTTTGGTTTCATTTTGTTTTACAGCGTTTCAGTTCTTGGTGAATACAACTACACTGCTGCAGACTTTACATTGCAAGATGTGTTCAACACCATCAAAGCCTATCTCACCTCAGGTCAGTCCTCAGAACAACACAGACCTACAGTAGTGTAGTCTTTAACAGCGTTTACAACTAAGCAAAGTTCTTTCTAGATTTGACAACTTTTAGGAACCCTTTAGTGACAAATCTAGCAAGGTTTTGGGCAGACCTTAACTCTTCTCTCGCCAGTATTCCAATCAGCAGCCAGATAGAAACTTGAATGAGCTGTGAATGTGCTTACCTGGCGACCAACCACGATCCCCATTGTTTGTTGAGGAACTCATTTGTTTCTTGAATATTTAAATTGTAATATTGTTTACAATAGAGTTTATTGTCAGTCTATACGACAACCTCCATAAACGGTTTTTGAAATCAGGACTAGATTCAGACACATAATGATGATAGTAACTTAAAAAATGACTATAGCTAATGACAAAGCGAGAGTCAAGTATATAATTAGTTGCGTGATGATGTCACGAATATGCATCATCTAGCGACATTTCAAGCAGGCTCTAGCTACTTTGCACTGATCTTTAAAGCAAGTCAGTGTATCGTATCTGTGACAAGCGTGGGAAAAATGCTCAAACAAAGTGTAACTGTAGCACGCATAGAAAAAGGTAATAAAATGAGCAAACAGACTCAACAATGTCAATCACAACTGCAATATCTATCTAAAGTTAACAAATATTAGCTAACAGTAGCACTTCTAGTAATACCAGAGGGCTGTATCAACCAATTCTGAGTGTGTTTAATTTAACACGTGTATTTTGTTAATTTATTGATTTCAACTTAGAGAAATGTTCTATTTCTTTTTTCACACACAATGAAGTCCCTTTAAAGGAGCTGATAGCATTATGTTACATTTTAAACATAATAACAGTGTCACATGAACAGCTTTATGTATATAATAGTTACCCCAAATAAGACGTTTTCATTAGCTTTTCAGCTCTCAGCTCTCTGTTATGATTTGTTCCCCTGTCTTTCTTTCATCCTTTCACCCTCTGGCTTCCCTCAGTAACATCTTCCATGTTCATATTTGTAATTTGTTGTAGTACCAACTTTGCCAAGGTGTTACAATAACAAGGACCCAGAACTAAACTCTACAGCCTGGTTTGCTGAGTACATCGGCCCTTTCATGCCTTTCCTGACTCTGGAGGAATTCCAGTCATTAGGATCTGCACAGGTACTGAACCCAATGTAGGAAATCTTAAAAAAACAGCTCAGCTTTGTTTACTGGGATTGAAATTGAGAAATAAATAGTCAAATCTTTGACTACAGTGTTTATACCCCCTCTCTCCTCTCTGTAGGATATCCAGGTGTTCACAGTGAACCCTCTGAACATTGCCCTCCTCAACCACTCCGCCTTACCTCCCAACCTCACCAACTACTACACAGAGCTTGTTTATCTACAGGACAGCAACTTTAACCCCCTACTGTGAGTCATTGCTGTTTTACCCTTCAGCCACAAGCACACAAATACACATATGAACAATACTATACTATTAATGTGTAAACCGATTCTTTTGTCTATGTGCAGTCTTCCTCTGTTGTGTCGGTGTGTCGTTCCTGGTCCAGCATTCAGCCAGCTAACTTCAGAAGAAAGTATAATAGTTCTGCACAACCTGACCACTCTCTGCACAGACCTGGACCCACAGGTAATAAAAACACATGCAAAAACAGAACAGAACAATTTAAATAACAATAATAATACATTTTATTTATAGAGTGATCACTGGTGGGAACCCAATGAGGGATCGTGTCTTGGTAGACTTTTCCTGGTTAGTCTGGATAGCATGAATTTCAGCATGTTACACCCTCGTAGTGAACCTCCTCAGTGTTGAAACTAAATGTTTTGGTACCTCTGGGTACATAATTGTCAGGTCTGAATGGTAGGGGTACAGAAATGGACGTTGAATAAGAGATTACATTGCCTCAAGAAGCCTTTGTACACAAATATTCCTCTATGTTATGCAAAAATATAATTGCAACCGACAAATTATTCACTTTTTCCTCTGAACTTGTCATGTTCTGCAGATTTCTGCAGCTTTGGCGGGTAACCTTGGTGACAGCATTGATGCCACGGCCATTTCTGCCCTTGGCAACGAAAGCACCGGCATGTCCACTGGTCAGATCGCGATGATAAAGCCTCAGGACCTATTTTCTTCCCTCAGCATCCTCAGCAGTGTTTTGGGCTGGAACGAAGGTCAGGCCAAGACCATTGTCCTGTCTCTGATGTCTTCAGGGTTGTTCCAGGTAGCTGCTGTCTGTCAGTCTGTGTGTCACTGTATTGAACTTTGATTTGATTTAAGATGCTATGGCTGTGTGAGCACAGCATTCAGAATGGAGCTGTCTCACATGTGTGCTGCTTTTATTCTTTTCCATCCCACCAGATCAACAGTGCGTCGTCGTTGTTCCAGCTGGGCTCTCTTGTTGTGGGTATACCCTCGACAACGTTCAACAGCATCAGCGGCTCTCAGCTGATTTCTGCATCCAAAAATCCATCATTTCTGGGACACTTGATGACCGCTCCACAGATCGTCCAGCAGACCTTTGTTACTCAGGTATGACTTAGGTATTATTTCTGTTACAGGACTTGTATGATAAATTAAAGTAAATGAGTGTAATGAATGTTATTTACATGGTCCAAAAACAGAAAAAAATCCAATTTATACAACATCTAATTTAAGAGAGAAACAAGAGAGAAACTTTACAAAACGTAACAAAACTAGACATACAGTAGATATCATATATACAGAGTATATAAAAAAACAATGGTAAAATTACAATATGGAAAAACAGAATTACAATATTAGGTCATTAAAGTAAAAACCTGAATAACAAATATGGATTTGAGAGAATTTGTAAAATGAAAAACCTGCCAAGACATACAGGTAATTTGTGTCACAGCATTGGGGCACATGGATCACTTCAGTCTTCCACTTTTAACATTAAGGCAAAGTATGAAAATATCCTATGAAGTTAGTTAGTACATTTAGAGCTTAACTGTCCACATTGTAGAAAAAACTTCATCACATAGCATTAAAAAGCAATATATTGTAAATGTAACCTTCAAAACATTTTTTTGTGAAAAGATAAAGACTACAGCTGTTTGCGAGATCCCCGAACCAGAATGCCTAGAACCAACTATCATGTGATGTTTAAAGTCCAAACATTACTTGTTTTGTCCCAGTTGAATGCTAACTGATGCTACAAACGCCAGAGGGCCTGATTGAGACCACACGCAAAAACTTGTTTGTCTAATTTGTGTGAAGATGGAGAATTTAAAACACCCCCTGAAAATCTCCTCCAGCAGTTTGACCTCTCAACGTGCTGCAGTGATATAGAGATCATCATCAACATCACTGTTGGTTGTGGTTGCAGGAGTAAAACACATGCTAGGTGTGATCAGACTTTTAACGTAATTCCCACCTTCTCACTCAGATCATATCCGTGAGCAACAGCAGTGAGACGATCATAGAGAACGTTCCAGATGATTTGGCCACTGAGATCCCTCGTCCTCTGCTGTTGGGCTTCTCAAATACCTTCAGCTTCATCAGCAGACTCAACAAGAAGAAATGGAAACGGCAGCAGGTAGGGGGACGCAACACTGAAACACACACTTTTGTTCTGAACACACCTACTTGACAGTATGTCGTTACACACTTTGTGTTTCTTTTTAGGTTGAGTTGTTCTTCAATGTAATAGCAGTGGAAACTGCGACCGAAACTCTGGGAAGTCCAAACAAGTGAGTTTTGAAGACGTTTTCAATAAAGCAATTTTACACAAAATACCCGTTCAGAAAATGTCCTGCAGGTGGGTTTCAATTCGTACAAAAGATAAAGAGAGTGTATATGTGTGTGTGTGTGTAGTTTGTCATCCTCAGTGCTGCAAGGGTTCACATGTACCGGAGTGAGGACCATTAGTAAGGTGCAGATCAAGAAGCTGATCAAAGCCTGCCGGAGGAAAGGCAGGGACAAGGTCACACTGGTGGAGACTCAGGTGAGAGAGCGGCCGAGTGTTTGTGTGCGAAGGTCATCACTGCATTTCTTAACAAAGTCACTAAACTGCAGTTGAAACTAGATGTTTAAGTTATACCTAATGTGGCCTAGACACACATTTATACAATTAGAGAATGTAAGAATCGATACAATGATGATAAATGAAAAAGTTAAAAAGCATTATTCATTTCCATATAAGCCACAGGAGCCACCCGAGAGGGGCTAAAGAGATGCATGCTGCGGCTTAGTGGAACAAAAAAGGATATTTATACAGAATTGATAACAGTTTTTGCTCTTTTCACCAACAGTTGACATGCATGTACAACTACATTAAAGTGGACTCAGAGGCCACCAGCTTCAACCTCTATCCTCCTGATATGCTGCTGTACTATGAGTGAGTTTAGAATGATTTGATGAAATGTTTTTGTTTAAAAAACTTAACTGTCAGAACGGTTTGTATGAGTTACTGTCTCTCTGTCCCTCCACAGTTACTCCCTGGTGCCACAGGCCAGCTGCAGGTCCTATTTTGAACAGCTGGCGGATGCAGACTTCTCCATTTTCTCCTCCACCCTCGGCTACAAGCTGACCGCTCTGTTTGCTAATGCCAGGACCTGCCTGGTGAGTCCCCAACAGCAAACTCATAAAAACTTCTCAAATGTTTGCTAAATTCTGTATTCAAGTACCCTGTTGAACTAAACTGATGATTTTTTAATCTTCATATATGTCCACATACAAATAAAAGTAAAGTGGGGATTATTTGATTGACTTTCACAGTCTGTTTCGACATCTAGTTTTTGAGCTCCAATCTGATCTTTTATTTAACATGGAGACCTAAAATACATCTCTATACTATACTCTATTATTACTCTATTAATATTAAAGATAAATGTCAGTGTGTACAGCACGGTGTCAAAGCAAAACTTTGTTTTAGATGTTTAGTACTTCATCTGTAGATTAATTTCTGTCCTCTCTTTCTTTCTTTCTTTCTTTCTTTCTAAGGGTATAACAAGCACAAGTTTGACTGAGGACAATATATCAGTGTTGGGAAACATGTGCTGCACTCTGGATGCGTCCTACATCGAGAACTCTGATCCGTCCATCTTGGAAAAACTCAAGAACTGCCCATCCCTCACCACCAATCAGGCCGCCGCTGTTGAAACTCTGCTGCTGAGCGGAAAAACACCGTACGGGTGCGTCAACAGCAGCAATACATTAATTATCAGTTATACAAATCCTCTTTAATGCATGTCCTTGCAGTAAAAGCAGATTTATTTCGTACCAGCAGCCTTTGGAGTAATTTCCTCCATAAAATATGGGTTTTTTGTTTCAATCTCAGTTTGATAAACTCTTTTTTACTATGTTTTCAATAACCAGAACTCCATCAACGTGGAATGAACAGACTCTGAGGGACCTCGGGATGTTACCGCTGTATCTGACTTCAACCTTCTATGACAACTTCGACAAAGTGAGTCACACATGAATACGTCTGGCGTTGGGTTGAGGTTGATGATGTTTTTTTTTTTTGTTGAATGTCTGTTTTTTTTTTCTTGTGAGCAGAAAACAAAGCAGCGTTTTTTGAGATACTTCCTGACAGTTCTTAAGAGCAACAGAGTGAGCAGAAACATGAGGAGAAGGATGAAGAGAGAAATAAGAAAATCCATTAAGAATAAGTCAAAGCGGTCTATAGGTGAGTCTCCCTCTGTTATCTGCTCTGCTCATTTCTTCTCTATGATTCTTCTCCATGATTATCTATAATTAACTGTTTTAACTGTGTTTTTTTTACTGTGTTTTAGAAAACGAGTGCACCGTAGGAATGATCAGCCAGGTGACCATCAGCGATGAGACGTTCCCCTTCAACTATGACGACATAACCCAGTTCAACTGCTGCCTCAGAGCCACCACTGTCAAAGACAACTTGGATGCAATCACCAAGAAGGTGGACGAGGAGGAATACCTCACCATTGTTCTCAGCAAACTGAAAGAGGTAGGTGGCAGTGAAAAGACCTTTTTAAACCGAGCAATAAAAGTTCAGGCTTTTTGGCAGTGGTGCTGGATTAATCACTATATTGATACAGCAGAAGAACAAATGTTGACCACCATGCTTTACAGAGAGATGCCAGTTACAGTTGTGGCCTAGACCAAGAGTTTGTTTGTTAAATCCCCAGCAAGATAAATCTGGCCCCTCCTTCATTACCACCACTGAGTAGAGTTGTAACAATACATCAGTAACATTGATTTATATCGTCATCTTTACTTGTTGTGGTAATATAAACAAACACTGCTGTTATGAGGTTAAATAATTTCAGCAATACATTTAAAAAATCATATTTTAGTTCCTTTCGTGACTTGATATAAATGTTACTGATTGATGTGTTAATGGCCAAATATGATATCACCTCATATCTCTTCGTATCGTGGCAGACTCTGTGATATCTGTAATATCGTATCAAGTTGAAAGATTAAGCAGTATACTCCCTATTGCTGTTTGCATTTGATGAACAAGTATGGTAGTTAAAAAAGTTGGACTATAGAATAAATACAGTACCTACATAATACATATTAACACATAATAATGCACCATAAAGAAGGCCTTTGGGAATCTGATGTTACACATTAACAAAATCACATTTAAAAAATCTATATAAACAAATCAGGGTAAAAATCAGTTTAAGAAAACACCTGCAGTGCAAACACTAACCCTCAACTTTCTCTCCATTTTCATTTTCTGTATCTGTTTAAAGTTAAAACTACACAGAGAACTTTTAAACAAATCATCTCCTTATTTTTCCTCACATAATTATAGGCTTATTCTGCCAGCTCTACCATCCCAGAAAGTCAGGTTCAGGTCTTAGGCCCGGCGTCCCGTGTGGCCACAATTGTTGACATCAACATGTGGGTCATCACTGAGGTCGACACACTCTCCTCTTTGATGGACTCGTCGAACGGGGAGTGGGACCCGAGCCTGGTGAGCAAACAAGTAAATAAGTGAAGTGTGTTGTGTATGTGTGCATATACGCTTGTCTCATCAATGAATGTTTCCTATGGTCCAGGCTAAGGCCATCATCTCTAAGTATCTGAGTAAGAAAGGCAACAAACTGGGCAGTGCTGAGCTCAACATCATCGGAGGTACCAACCTGTGCTCCCTGGACGTTGATGTTTTGAAGAACATTTCCCAAGAAAGCCTCAAGTAAGAAGTCAGGGTCGTATGTGTGTTTGGAGGATTGTTACACTAGTATCATGACATCTCAGTCCAAGCTGAGTTTGCTTGTTGTAGTTGCTTGTGAAACAACAAGTTCACAGTTCAACTGCTGTTCATACCTGGAAGGCTTCAAAGTGGAGGTTAAATCAAATAAAAAACGATTTAAATGCTAATTCCTTCATTTATATCAATTTAGCAAATACAATTTTTAAGAATTTGCTTATTTTGCGTTAATAATGACAGTATAATAAAAAATAAGAAATTCTATGAAAATTGCAATATTTTTAATGCATTATTGCACTCACCCTTACTCAAAATCACATTTGATTTCATTGCTAGATAACATATTTATATCTTTACTAAAACAAGCACTTAACTGCCTCATCTTTAGGAGAATATTTACTGTAAATTTAAATGTTGACAAAACTGAAAATATGTTGAGGAGTTTTTTTCAGCCCTGAAGTTTGTCTTAAGGTCATGTTATGAGTGTAGGACAGCCTGTATGTATCCAAAACCTTGCTTTTTTGTACAAAGTACTAATTGAAGGCAATTCATGTTAGTTCATCCACATTTTTCTAATTTGGAGTTTGGCAGCTGTACAGTCACAGGACAATGTGTACAGTAGAGGGAGAGTGTGTACCTTAAAAGAGAAAAAAGTTGCATAGTAGTAAATAAAGTTAAAGTTAGTTGTATTAAGCTCATACTAAAACCTACTACTTCAAGTTTTGGGAAAAATATTTATATGAACCAAATTGCCAGAAAGCAAATATTTTATTTTAAGGGTAGTACATAATTTATTAAAAGACAGAATCATAATAAAATTGACCCCTTTATAGATTAAAACAATAAAGATTTTCGAGTGAACTTTTTACTTACTTACTTTACTTAGAGAATACAATAGAAAATCACCCACAATCAGAGCTTCCTTAAACACAACATTTCAACCCATCGCAGGTCTTCTTCAGGCAGGCTAAATGTAATCGGGATGATCTGACACACATGGATGTGATTAAATCATTATGATGTTACTAAAAGTTTAATAAAAGGTTCAAGGAACTCTTGATTACAGTGTGTGGGTACTTGATTATTGTATTCTATTGATTTTCTTGGTATCCTCTTCCCACTGAGGTTTTTTTTTTTTACATGTGCACATGGTTATTCCTGCCTTTTTCTCGTCTCATACTCGGTGTGTTTGTGTCTCCTGCAGAAACGCTGATGCACTGACCCTGTCCAACTGCACCACGGAGCAAAAGAAAGAACTGTTCACCATCGCCGTACAAGCCTTTGCCACAAGCACACGCTCTCAAACTGTTCCTCCTACCATCTACCAGCTCATTCAACCTTACCTTGGTAGGCACACACACACACACATCCATACTGCATGCTGAAGAACTTCATTGTCAACTGCCAACAGTTGACAGTGATCTCACTTTTAATTCTTTTCCTGGCCTGCAGGGGGTGCACTTTTGGCCTATGTCAAAAGTTTGGCAGCCTCCAATATCAGCATGGATATGCCAACCTTCACCAGCCTGAATGAGAGCGTCTTACTGGTCAGTAAATTCAATCCCCCATCTATTACATTGGAAGCATGTTATAGATAGTTTAATGGCCAGAAGGAAGAGAATGTGAACCTCTCCTTTAAATACGTGTGTTTATTTTCACAAGAATAATAAAATTTATCTTCTCCGCTCTCCCTAGAACCTGTCTGTCACTGAAGTTCAAGGTCTTCTTGGCACCAACCTGCCGGATTTGAAGTCCTATGAAAACCAAACGCTGGTACAGAGCTGGATCCGCTCGCAGCGTCAGTCAGAGCTTGACACGCTGGGAGTGGGGCTCGTGGGAGGCAGGGCGGACCCCATCACCACCAACTCTCCTGCTACTACAACCTCATCATTGACAACTACTGCTGGGTCTGGATCCAGCAGCTCCACAGCAGGATCAGGATCTTCTACCACCACGGGTGAGTACTGAAAAAGTCAAATATTCAGGAAACAATTTACTGTTGAGTGTGTGAATATGGAATATCTAAGGTTAGGCAGCTGCACTGTAGTTATAAGATTTAAAGTTATAATATGTCATTTCTGTCGTTAGGGGTTCTCATACATCCAAAGTTTGATGATGATGTGTGAATTGGTGTGGGATCGTGGGAGTGGTTGTCTTTGCTGTCTTTGCAGTCAGCTTCTCCCTGTTAGGATTCCTTCAGTCTTTATTTTACACCGGGTGATTAATATCGCTAAAAACACTGAATAAAACCAGTTTCACCTTAAAAATCGGTGTTTCTCCGGCGCTGTTCAGCAGACAAAGGAGGTCCCGGAGGGCCTGCCATCCGAGCTGCTGCTGATGAATTAAGATACATCCAAGACATCCTTCATCTGGTTAAAATATATTATTAAAAAAACAACCAATATCTTAAAAGTGTATCACAAAAATAATGCTTAAAACTGGATACAAAGTCAGTTTCTGGCAGCCACAAAGCCAACACAAAGGAATCATATTCATATTCATATTATGGAACAACAATGACACTAACTGCTGATCTCAGTTAACACTTAATCATATTATATATATATATATATATTATATTGTATATAATTGTAAATCTAGTGAAGAATATATTCAGTGTTATTGATCTCTAAAGTGAGTTTGTTCTGTGTTTGTTTCAGGTAACAATGGCGGCCGCATCCGAGCAGACGCTGGCTTCTCCTTCCTTGCTCTCCTCGCACTACTCGTCGCTTCTCAGCACATTCTTGTATGAAGAAACACATAGGTAATTATTATAACTGATCCACTGATTGAAGGAAATACTGTAAAAGAGCTGATGCTGACAGCCACAGTTACCTCAAACCATAAGTGACTTAAAATTGTATTTGCTACAAGCTGAACTGTTATGATATATGTAATGTGCAATAAGAATGTAGTAGATGTGAATAATGTGTTCTTTATTAATTGATCCTTTAAAGCCTTTTCACATTTACTTGTTTTACTTATCCACTTGTTACAATTATTAAAATGAAGGGTTAACAGAATAATTAAGGGTGAGAGTTTCTACTGTATTTGTGTTGATGTAATCATGTGTATCCACTGTGAGACTTTACTTTCTTTAAGCAGGCTCACCCTGAAAATGCCCAGAGCTGTATGAGATTACAAAAAATCTAATAAATGCACATTGTATGTAGCTGCACAATCATCAAAGCTCATCTTCTGCTGTTATTTGAAGGGAATAGGTTGTCACAGAGGGTCACATCACATCACCTGTACAGTAAAACCAACAACAAACTTAGCCACAACATCAAATATGTGTGATATAAATGAAGTAAGTCTGAGCTGTACCATCTTTTTTCCAGTCTAACTTTGTAAAGTCCTTCAAGGAGCCAGTAACTGAATATGAGCAGACGTGTAACATTGTCAGAGGCAACCTTTATTAGTGTCAGATTCAGTATAATTACATTTTCTGAATTCAACAGTGGTTCATTCAGAGGGGAAACTGCTGATGGGTTGGAAGTTTAACCCTGAGATGGACGCCACATTAGTTAGGGCTGCAACCAGAGTCACTCGAGTCACTTACAACTCGACTTGGATTTTAACACCAATGACTCGTGACTTCACTTGGACTTATTACAATAATACCTAAAAGCCTAAAGATTAAAATGTATGTGACATTTGTTATTTATATCATTTAGACATAAAACATGGCAACAACATACAATATCACTTTAGAGGGAGAAATTAATACATGAAGACGGGGCAGAAACATACTAAATGAATCCAGTTATCGTGCTATAAGAAGCTATGAAAGAGCAGCACAACCTTTTTTTAATGATGAAGTTCAGTCACACCTGCTTTAACAAATAGATACAAATTTGAAAAGCATTTAATTAATTTAACTACTATTATTACTGTTTGTTAAAATTGACCATTACATTTGGCAGAGGAGCGCTCTGCCTGCAACTAATAATTAGTTTCATTATTGATTAACCTTCTTGGATTATAAGATTAAAAAAAACAGTTTCCTTTTGTCAACTAATGGTTGCAGCTGTAACATCAGTTATAAGCGTTTATACACGCCGAGTACAGTCTTGCAGGTAGGACAGGAGTGCTTGGCGTCTCTCAGCCGGTCCACACAGAACGGGATGAGACAGCAACCTAAAACAAAGCTGGAGAGGACAGCAGCCTATTGTCAGTACCGTCTATTCATACAATACATGATTTTAAACATATTTGAGCATTTATCTAATCATTACTCACAGGTAACATCTACATGCATTTCACAAGACAGTTTCTTATGGTCACATACATCTATCAGCACATTGGATAATTACACCTGGTAATTTTGAGCCATGGTAGCAGCAGTGATGTAGTATTTAGGTCGCGCCGATTGTTAGGTCCAGAGTCTATCCCATGAATTGCCATAAAATTTGGTAGCTACAGACATTCATGGTTCCTAGACGATGAATCCTCATGGTCCCTTTCCTTTACTTTTCCACTAATGCCATCGACATGTCACTTGTCTAACACAATCATTATATCATCTTAGATAACACAATAGGCATATCTACATGCTAATTATGCATTCACACTATTGTCAGCAGCATGGAAAGAACAGAAAACCTCCTAAAGCTAACAGTGTATATATTTTTAACAGCTAAATTTAAATTATTAGACTTTTATTTAAACTTGTTTATTGTTTAAGCTTTGAAATTCCTGTAATTTTCAACTTGATTTACAATAGGTGGGTGAGGTTAATATATTTTCCTTCTCACAGGATGTCAGTAAGTGAATAAAGCATATTGTTAGCATATTAACATAATAATGTCAGTATTAAAGTCAATGCATTAAGTACAGTTGAGGCTATTATATGTAGATATAGTTATAACATTTTCAGCAGGAAATATAAATAAGAATAGTATTATTATTAAAGGAAATATGTAAAATGTGTTTGTTCTTTAAAGATGTACAGTGTACAAACTGTACAAATATTTCGCCCCATACTAAGTACTTTTGTGTCGTTTTTTCAGCCACACAAAGAGGTTTTCTTTGTAGACTTTTCTTCTTTATGAATATTAAAATGGAGTGAATGACGCTTCACTCCTCCTTACCCACAGAAGAAGAGCCCTCCACAGAAAAGGTAGGTGAGCAAACCAGGGGAGTAGTCCACCTTAGAGAGGACCATCTGATGGCACTTAGGACAGGCAACCTGAACCGGACTGTCTCCCAACGCGGCCGACTGTCACCTATAGAATCTAGGTAAGCGACCAAGAATGAGGCACAAAGGGACATTCAATGAAGGAAATTAGAGCTGTGTTATTATGAGGGACAGAACAGACTCACCAACAGGAATTTGTGCATTTGCCATTGTTCCTGTAAACAATTCATATCGAAGATGTAGTTAAATACTGTTTATATAGATTTGTATACTAGAGACAAATCTATGGTACACAGATATAAACTTATATACATTTAAAGGTTATTTTGATCACAAATGTTCTTATTCAACTGTTGATTATTGACTGACTTTATTGGATAATAATGAAGCAAGTACTGCAGCCAAGAAGTAATACATTAAACTCAAAACTCCTCATATGAGGAATATAATATTTTTATTATTATTTAAAACTAAATATGTTTTGTTTATGTTAATGAAAATGCATCATTTATTCACAAAATGACACTCACATGTTTAAATCTCTGAGCGTGTCATTACACACAGTGTTGGGATTCAGTATAATTGTTTAGTAATGCAAACATAACCTTTATAATCCTATAAATACTAATGTTATGTTAGTAATGTTTAACAAATGAACTGGTACTTACAGTAGAAGAATGTGTGACTGCAGCAAGGACAGTTTTCTCAGTGCCGGCTACACTTTCCCTGCCAACCTTGTTTACTTCCCCAGGAGTCATAAGATTGCTGAATTGTCTGTGTGGACTTCACTGACCCAACCCATATTACAAACCCAATGAGCAAGGACAATATTTTATGACTTTAAACAACCGTTGATTTCCCTTTTTTCCAGATGTGTACATGAGAGTAATTCTCATCTGGATTGTCTCTTCTTAACTTTACCTTGTGCACCACAGAGCAAAAGAGAATTATTATTATTATATTGTCTTACTGTGTAAGTTGGTGTAGTAAAATAACAATTAACATAAATATGTTTTAAATAAATGTGATTTTATTGAGTTTAGTCAACAGATAACTCCATAAAAATCACACAAACATAACTGTTATCATTTTACTGCAACTATCTATCATTATTCTGATTCATTGTGGATTTTATTTATTATTTATCTCAGTTTGTAACTTCCATACACAACCTTTGGGGCATTTATCATTATTGGTTTAATACTGTGTGTGTCTGTTTGTGTAGGTTTAAGTTTGTGTTAACAGAAAAATATAACTGCAAGATGTTTACTTCTGTTGTTTCACACTGTCATTTAATAAACCTAAAGAAACAAATATATATGTATATATATATAACTGAAGGATTAGACAGAGAAGGTCAAACCAGCTCTGCAGTTTTTAGCATTTTCAAGTGCTGTAGAAACTATCTTGAGAAACAGACTATAAAACATCTCTGTGGCTGACTTGCAGTGAATGAAACTAACTAAAGACAAATAACCTTCCATTCAGGCTGAAATTAACAGCACATGCTCCTGCTGCTCCAAATTAGAGCTGGCATTTAACTGTTTGCTGAACACAGTCATAGTTCATGGCGACACAGTAGCGATCCAACATTAATCTACATATGCTGAAAGGATGAGGTTGGCATTTGTCAGCTGGTTCATACAGAAAATTTTAATATTTTGACAGGACAAATGTGCATAAACAGTGGTGTAATATAACTAGATTTATTTACTCAAGGTCAGTTTATACTTCTACTCCACAAACATCCCTACAAATTATGATCTATTGCATACAAAAAGACTTTATTCAACTAATTCACAGCATCCTGTGAAACCTCATAATTAAGGAAAGGAGATGTAGTTGCAGTTGTAGTCAGAGGTCACTGTGTGCTGAAAACACATCTAAGGATTTTGATTGTGCCATTTCTCACACATTTACCATAGCTGGAAGTGAAACTACACCTACAAATCTTTATTAATATGCATAGGGAGACAATATGTCTCTATATATAATATGTTGTGTAGGAGTTGTATCATCTGAACCATATTGCTCTGATTTCTGACTGATTTAATCCACAATAAAACACAGGACAATAAGATGAAAGACTTTTAATCAGTAAAAACAGGTGCAATATTTCACATGTAAACAATTGCAGCATCTCATTCTTAATACCTGAATAGTTACATAGAAATAATATTTTAGTGACTCAAGGATTCCTGTAAAAATAGATCAGTTTAACAAAAGAACTATATCCCCTTCAAAAAAAAAAGAGAAATCTTGCTAATTATTTCAAGTGCTCTTAGGCTCACCTGCAGATCGGCGAGCAGTTGCGACACCTTCAGTATTAAATAAGTCTCAGCTTCACTAGTAGCCCTCTCCCCCTGCAGCCAAACTCTACATCGCTGCAGCCATTAACTCGCCTGCCACTGTACATTAATTTAAAAGCAAAAGGACTGTTGGTAAAATATCATCATCGTCCATCAGCTGGTAGGGCGGCAGGCGAGTGCACAGTGGAAATTCTCAAATATAGATCGTGGCAATTATATTTACTTCAGTGGCAGAGAGAACTCGGCATTTATTTCTAATGTTTCCTATTGCCTAGTCAGCCCCTCCAGGAAGTTTTAACAGAACATTTAACAGAAATTCAACCAAAGCAAATTTTGTCTAATCACCTCCAATCATCTAGTTTCCAGTGGAAAAATTTGAGCCATACGCCGACTGCTAGTGACGTTATTCTCTTCTGCCTTCTATTTGTAATTAATTATCCAAAAAAAAAAAAAAAGCAAAATTATTTTTGCTTATCCCATAATTTCATTGCAAAAAAAACCCTTTTTAGAAAAGCTGCTGTGAAATCAGGCAGGTAGGCTGCAACAACCCCCCCAAAAAGCCTGTGTAGAGGAGGGAGTGCCCAGTTAATGCAAACTGAAAATTACCTCCACATGTTTGTCCTGATAAATTCAGTACATTTCCACAGCACTAATTCCATCAGCAGACCCAGTCAGGTGTTAAACCCCCGGAAGTGCTGATGACGTAGCTAGCTTCAAATGTATCAGGAGCGCCGCAAAAAGGCGGAACAACTGGAATTTTTTTATTAGTATGAAAAACATTGTGTTAAAAAAGACAGAGCAGCAGACTGATGACTGTAACATGACGGTTATACTGATGGAATTGGTGCTGTGAATTCACCATGTGAGCTACAGTTCAGCTCAACCCACTCAGTGTTTCCTCTTTAACCTGGTCTCACTTTCACCAGTAATGAGTAGTGTAAGTAATTAGTATTACATTTCAGTAATATTATTAGTTACTCCCCCCAAAAATAACTACGTACAACCTTACTACTGTTGTTACCATGTCACCAAGCAGGAAGTTAACCTGGAGTATGGAAAAGCTTATGTTACAACTGTTTTTAAATGACAGATGTTTAAAATTTTGTCTCGCAATCAGTTTTTGTTCAAGTGTCATCTGGCCTGTAACTTTTATTGATTAGGCTGCAGAAAAAAAGATAGTTTGAAGCCTCAGCTGTGATTCCCCTGACATTCACACACAAACTACTGCTGGCAGGGAGTAATACATAAAGTAATAATATACCATTTGAAAAGAGTGACGAGTAATAAATTATATTTTATGAGTAATGAGCCCAACACTGCTGGCCACTGCTGTTATTTGAGTCTTGAACCATTTTTTCAGGGTAACTCAGGGAAGGTCTAGAATTTGGCTGCAGGGTGTTTGTAGTTACGTCTTCACCGTCCAACAGACATTACCTTTTTGCAAGCGCAGTATTAGAACTGAGTAGTTTTAAATGGATAGTTGGCACTTAATTCCCATACTAGTGTGTTCCTATGACCCACGTTCATCATCACAGCACTTGAAAGAAGTACTCTGACAAACGCTGCCGTTTCCCTCGCTACATATCCACCTTTCCTGATTTCTGTCCTGACTTAGCAGCAGTCTTACGTTTTTTCTTCTGACAGATCATGACTGTCATTTTATCCTAATTTTCTCCCATGACAAAATGTATTAGGTTGCAGCCCCGTGGGTGTCACATGACCTCCCAAATCCCTCCTGTTTCACAACATCATGGGTCTAACCGCTGCTCATTCTCATCCATTTCAGTCCTCCCTTCATTTCCTGGCCGTCTTTCCTCTCCCTTCCTCTTCTCTCGCTCTCGGGATTCCCTGCAGACTTCGACGTCAGGAGGCCATATGGCTTCTTTTCTGTTCTGCCTCTTTTCTCTCCGCCTCCGCCTGCTCTTTAGCCTCCGTCCTGTCCTTCAGCGCCCTCAGCAGGACCCTGAGCAGCGTGTTCTCATTCAGCAGGTTTTCGGAGGTGTCTGCCAGCTCCTGCAGCCGTCTCACCGCCTCCCCGAGCTGCCGGCTTTTCTCCCGGTGCTGTTCCTCCAAGCTTTGCCTTTCTTGCTTCAGCTCTGCGTTCTGGGCTTCTAAGGTGCGAGTGTCAAATGTTAGTCGTCGGTTGTCACGCCACAGCTGCGCCAGCTGTTGCGAGAGACGTTCGCGGGCGTGATGCAGCAGTTGAACCTCACGCTGGAGTGCCAGAAACTCTGCACGGAAGACGGCGCCGGGTCCTGGACCCTCTGCCTCGCTAGGAGCTGTCACTGGTTTGTCTGCATATTGTACATAGCCGGAGTGCTGCAGGATGAAGTGAAGGAGGTTGGGTAATGTGATGGGCAGGTCGTCAGGAAACTTCACACTAAATTGTTTTCTTGAAGAGAAGCAGAAACAAGAAAACGAGTGAAAAAATAATTTCTGCTGGAATTAATTGATAATATTAGTGGTTAAATAATATTTTTTAATGTGGATCTTTTGTGGTAAATCAGTCTCCCTTTGGGGATGATAAAGGTTGTTACCGTTACCACTCTGGGGGTTACTGTATGCTGTGTTCTGCTGGACTCGAACTGCAGCTAACAATTTACTTAGTATCAGTTCATCTGCCAATTATTTTCTAGATTAACTGACTGTTTGGTCTATAAAATGTCAGGAAAGAGTGAAAAATGTCACATCACAATTTGCTGAAGTCCAGAATGATCTTAAAATTGTTTGTTTTGTCTGACCAAAAGTCTAAAACCTAAAGATATTAAGATTTCATAAATCCTGACATCTGAAAAGCTTAAAAAATTACTTTTTGATTATCAAATGTTTGTTTCCAGCTTCAGCTGTAAAGAGTACTCTGGTCATTGCCAGCCACCTGTCCAGGTATTACTGGAAAATGCAAATGTCTTTGTGTGTGTCTCTATTACCTGTATTTGGGAAAGAGAAGAATAGAGGGAACGTGATCCACCATAAACTCCCATGGAAGGTCATTACGTGCAACATTCACCCTACAAAAGACAAAATGTTGTATTATTATTATTTTCCTAAAAAGGTTGAGCCAGAGAACTAATTATTAATTTTTAAGCTTATTTTGCACTGAAATTAAATCATGATTCAACAAGAAATCCATATTAAAACACACAGTACTGCCACAATACCTGCAACAACAGTCAGACATAAATACTCGTACGGTACCTGGCAACAGTGATTGTGCTGTTTGACTGCTGTAATAAACGGGCCAGCTGGATGATGATGTGGTTGAGAACAGAGCAAAATCCACACCACTGAGTGTAGTAGAACAGCAGCACGTCCTAAAGGAGAACACAGGCAAACGTTTATATATTGTTCTCCACACTACAGTCTGTGAACTCAGTACAGTTCATCTCCAGACCAAACAGTGAGCCCACTCAGGTCCCTGCTCCCCAGTAGCCCTTCCACACACACTGTCCCTCCTCATAAGGTTACACTCACAGCTGTAGTTAGTCTTCAAATAAGTATATGTTGTAGCTTCACTACATGTTGCAGATTATTTCATTATTTCTATAGTTACTGGGGTATGATAAGTCCGTCCGTGTGTAATCTACTTCCATTCAACATCAGCTGGTTTGGGACAACGCCTTAATAGCTGAAGGTTTAAAAGAACTGATTGTCTTTTCTCACCTTTTGGAGGTCCATGACAGAAGGCAGGAAGGTGGAGGTTGTCAGTTCTGTGATGAGGGGGCGCTGGGGCGAGTGCTGGTGTTCGTCTGGATGCCTGGTTTCCCCCTCGCCTCTTTTCCTGTCTTCTTCTCCGACCAAGTGTCTCTGCAAGAGGCTGTACGGAGCACTGAAGTTCCTGATGAAGGCCTCTTTAATACACGATGAAAACAGAGAACTACTGTTAGAATCATATTTGAATACGACAGAGAACGTAAGAGACAACAAAAAGACTGTTGTAGAGCCCTTAAATGAGTTCTTCTAGCAATACAGGCATATCTGGCACAAATTCACCAATTTCCAAAATGCACAGAGAAGGCAAATAATTATAGTTATTTAATTAGATTATTAAATTAAAGTAATATAAAACAAAATCTAGACAATGACGTCAGAATCATTTTAATTTCTTTCTGGACAAGCCAATTTTAAATGATATTATGTTGAAACCAGCGACAAGATGGTGGCAACAGTGGCCAGATACCTTGTGAGCAGTTAGTTTTGCAGTAATATATAATTAAATACATACTACTACAGAGAGACCTTGCACACATTGAACACACAGCTTCCAGGTGCTGGAAAAGGCAAAAGACTTGAAACTCATTACAGTCAACACATGTTCAGGTTACAGAACATCAAAACAGTCAGTGTCTTTACCTGTAGTTTAAAAGCATGTGAATAAATGTGAGATACATAAGGGTTTACTATTTCCATAACTTTGAATTATTACTGCTGTTCTCCCTTTCTAATGAAACAACACACCTGAAACAGTAAATTCATAAAATAAGAAATTATTAAAATATATTCTAAAGTGGAGATAGTTTAACTTTTAATCTCTTAGTACTAAATGACAGTGACAATAACATTCCTGCAGTCTGTGTTTTTGTGAACGCTGCCTGGTGTTTGCAGATCACAGTGCATCAAGAAGCACATGCAACAGTTAAAATGCCACAATTCATTAGAAACATTAAAATGCAGATAGCCGTACCATTATTATACAACCTGCTGAAGACAAAAACAACATTGTTAAATTACAAGTTAAAAGTAAAAAAAAAAAAAGAAAAAAGTAGGTAAAAAACAACACCCTGTTTCCAGTTCATTGGGGAAGTTCCAAGTGATTTCCTCATGACATTTGCAAATGTTCAGCATGTAAAAGACCATGAATCTAAGCCACATCAGATAATATGCATGCTATGCAAAGCTGTTGTTTTGGGTTTTTTTGGTTATATACAGAATTTGAACCAAATTTGCACAGAATCAGTGAATCTCAACAGACATGGTAACAACAATAATTATTCCATTACAGTTTCACAAAAATGACAGATATAGGCTCTTAACGTGCCTTCCAAAGTAAACCCACGTCCATCAACACAAACATAAAACTCAGAAATATGTTTCTAAACTAGCTGCATCACACTTAGTAGAATTAGCAACTAGTAGTCCAGTCCAGGCCGTTCTACTATCTAAAATCTACATTTTAAGTTAAGCAAAACTGATTTAAGGAACCTATTAATAACCTATTCAAAATAGCCATTTTCAGTATATGCACATGAGTGTTCAGTGTTAGAAAAACACTGAGAGGCTATTTATGTCTCTTTTTTAGGGTACAACGGCCGTGGTGATTTGTCATTATATTCTGACATCAGAAATTGTGGTGAGTATAGTAAGAAGAGTAATGGGGTCAGTGTGCTTCAGACAAAGCGCTTGCTGGATCTTCAACCTGCATCGGAGATCCTCACATAGGAGGAAATGAGTTCAACAATGTTTGTGACTTTGGAAATTGACAGTGGTGGTGAGAAATGTGTGTGCTGATATAAATAAATAAAACCATGTGATGTGAAAGAAATACTGTCCCAGTCTTACCCAGAGACTCTGTCAGTGTGGTTGCTGGGTCGCGGTGGAGAACATAATGAACCTCATCCTTCAGGTTCACAATAGCTGCAAACGACCCGTCACCGCTCCCATCGCCTTGTGCACCAGCCTCCTGGTGAAGAGGAGCACTTCTGTTGCCTGGTGCTCCGAGCCTCATCGCCAGAGGCCAGTTTAGAGCAACGTCCAGCACATAAAACCTGAGCGTCCTGTTGGTCCGACATCGGAGCCCCGTGATGCCATCTCCTCCCTGCTGAGGGCCAGGGGATGGAAGGATGGACGAAGAAGCAGGCGTAATGGGAACTCTTTGCATGTCTGGCTCCTCTTTGGCTTGTGAATCATTGAGTTGAGGTTCTACTTTTCTACAGCAGGCACTGTATTGACTAAATGGGCTGTAGCTGTTCAGAAAGTTGCTACAGACCACTAAAGTTGTGGTTTTTATGGACATGGGTGCAGACACTTGGTGCAGGCAGCAGTTTCTGAGATAAGAATGCAGCAGGTCTCCTCCCTGAGCCGTGGAGGGGAACGAGCAGCCTACAGGGGAGCTGGTCAGGATGGATTGTGACAAGCTGAGGCACACCTCACACACACTTGTACTGGACTCTGGAAGAAGAACTGACTGGCAGCAAAGAGAGGTGAAACTTTTGTCCAAGCTAGAGTGGTTATTGTTGTCACAGGAATGATAACGCACAGCAATGTCCGCAACCTGAAAGACAAAAGAAACAGAATAATAATAAATGAAAATGAAATTAACTGGTAGCCAGTGATGGAAGATAAGTGTGACATGGTCAGGCTTCCTTGAATGTGTTAAAGGTCTAGCATGTAGGATTTAATGGCAAATAGCGGTGCAGTTGCAGATTGCAACTCCGTCGCTTCACCCTCCACTTCCAATCACAAAGGAGAAACGGTGGCTGTGAAACGCGCAAAAAACACTTGAGCCAGTGTTTGGTTTGTCCTTTTTGGGTTGCTGTAGAAATACGACAGACTCCGTGGAAAGCAACCCGTAGTGACTGTAGATATAAACGGCTCATTTTAAGGTAATAAAAACATAACGATTCCTATATTCAGGTGATTATACACCAATGAAAACATAGTTATGAATATTACTCAATTTCTGCATAATAGAACCTCCTAAATGTTACACTGGACCTTTAATGTCATCAACGCAGTTAATGAGAGTGAGAAGACTGCTATTATCAGCATAAACATTTTTAATTCATATATTTTTAAATAATATCCAGAAGAAACATGTAAATAAAAAACAGTAGTGGGCCTAAAACTGAGCCCTGTGACACACAACCACAGCATTAGATTGTTCAGAGTAGGGCAGTATTAAAGACGGCTACCCATCTCGGGACGAGCATGCAAAGGTCCACTGTATGAAATGTAGCATTAAAGTCAAATACTGGAAGTAAGTGAGCGACACAAAGAGATACGAGCGAGGATGGTAGATTTTCATTCACCCTCTATGTGATATAATCCATTCCTGCTCACCTGCTGTAGTATAGGACTGGGATTGGACCCGAGGGGATTGTGTGGCAGGAACAGCAGCAGTGCCGGACCTTTAGTCAGCTCATGTTCCAGGAGGCGGGACTTTGTTCCTGGAGGCTGCAGCCAATGGAGGACGGTCTCGTGGTGTTCAAACACCCAGTTACAGATGGCCTCGGATGTGAAGTTACGCTCCCTTCGAGGGAAAATCTGACAGAAGAAAACATACAGCACGATACCGGTGCAATCCCTTAGTATACATCCTAAAAAACATAGTACATACATAGTAACATGTATTCAGCATTTACTTACAATTTATAAACCAGTGTTTTATGTAATGTTTATCACGGCGGGATGACTTTGCTTACCAAAGAGGAGTTTAATTTTCTGTAAAGGTAAACTGTTTCATCTTCTGTTAGTGAAATGGCCCCCGCCACCTGTTTGTTTGTTATGACCCCAAAACGTACAACACCACGGAAATCTGCACCAGAAAAACAAGAAGTTGTGTTTCTGTGTTTTCTATCCTCACTTTCACACATTTGATAAAGTAAAGACTACACAGTGTTTTACCCATCATTGTACATTATTCAGACCCACTGCTATCTTCACTGTAACCAAGTTACCCAAAACATGGCTATTTCTAATCTAATC